ATAAAGGGTAAAAGGCAAAATGCATCTTTTTCTTGCATTTATATCTATAGAATTTCGAGGATGCATTATAATGCCGTAGTCCACAGAGTGATAGATTAAAAAAAGTCTAAAGACTTCTGTACATATATATGCACGTAAAAAGGTAATCGCGTTTTCTTATAAAAAAAAAGATCTCATTAATTTTCCCCCTTTTTTAATTTTTTTTATTGTTTTTTCGGATAAGAACCCGTGCAGAATAAATCAATAATTAAATTTTCTTTTTTGACACCCAAACAATTTTTTTTTTTCCAAAAAATGATCTATCAAAAAAAACCAACCCTCAAATTCAACGATCTCCAAAAAATTCTTTGTTGAATGTAATAAAACATGAAAACGAATTTTTTCAAAAACATAATTTACAAAATTTTCTTTTTTAAAGTATCAAAACATACAATCATAATTGAAGAAAACAGATTTTTGTTGAAAAAAAAAACAGTGAATTTTTACGAAATTTTAAAAGTCTTTTATTCTTTTTTTTTAAAAATCAGCACAAGGGTTTTAAGATCGCCCTATTTTAAAAAAAACTTTGTTTAAATTTACCAAAAAGATATGAACAGGATTTCATTCAGTTATTTCCTTTTGATTCACAAATTCATTCACAACTTTATAACCGTTAATTTAAACGTAAGTTACCTTTCTAACCTTTCTAACCTTTCATTTTTAAGTAAGTAAATATATATATTATTGAACAGTGATATGTTTCGGTTCGATGAGTTATTTGAAAACTTGAGAAATATGACACTATAAATGTTTATACCTTTCTAACCTTTCTAACCTTTCATTTTTAAGTAAGTAAATATATATATTATTGAACAGTGATATGTTTCGGTTCGATAAGTTATTTGAAAACTTGAGAAATATGATACTACAAATGTTTTGAAAAATTGGTAAGCAACTGACATTTATAGTTTGATAAACATAGTTAAAACTTATTTCACATCGGTTGGTTTTAACAATTTTAATTTCTTCTTCAATATTTACAGACAAATTACAATCTTTATATTGCTTTCAAGGTCATTTTTTTATTTCTGCCTTATATTTTATTTTAAGTTCACATAACTTCATTTGAATAATATTTATTTCAAATCTAATAGCATGTAACAAATGAACTTCCAGCATTTGCACAATGTGATTTCTATGTGATGAGAAGTACAAATGCATGAACCATTCCTTGATCTTATCTCATCAATTTTAGGTTTGTTACTTTTTTTGCTTGTCAATCTTTCAATATCACAACACTATAATTGTACTATTAAACCACGTTTTCATATTAAGAGTCCAAAAAGAAAATCAGATCAAACAATTTTTTTGTTCATCTAACCTCGTGCAAATTTCAAAGTAAAAATGTCAATATCACAGATAAACATTCCTGACAGTCGTAGGAATATCAGTGTAAAAATACAGATGTCTTGGTGATTATATAGACATTGGCGTGATGCGTATATCGATAAGAATGTAATAATTATCATCTACAAGGTTGATTGACTATAGTCATTTGTAATTCAGAAACCACCTTTATTCAAGACAACGCCAGCATCTTTCCTAGGAAATGTTACATGATACGTGTCTATATAATTCACCGTCACGATGGTATGTTCAATGATAAATATGTTTTGTAAATAAGCTATTTCTTAGAAATATTTATGACTTGGTAAATACATGTATGTATATATCTATCATAAATTGTTTTACGTGCATCCAATTATTTGCTTGACATTGTTACAAAGATGTACTGATACATTAAAAATAATTAACTCTTGTATGTGCTGAACATATCCGATTCATAGTGAGTGTATTCTAAATGATTGAGCATAAACAAGAAAAAAAATAAAGATACACAAAATGGTTACAAAACAGAGAAAAACAATTTTCATAAAGAAACCAAAACGCAGAAAAATGAAAATGTTACAGGCTCGAACTTTTAGTACATGGACAGAAGTGGTAGTTACAAGCTATCTTCTACGCCCCTAGCCTCGGCATAAGCAGATTCAACATCTTAAATGAATTTGTGAAAATTTGATTTTGAAACATACGCAGATGTGTCCATATGGCGGTTATCATGGAACTTCCATGAAGAGCGTTATATGCTACACGGACACATTAGTGCTTGTGCCCTGAACGAGAAAACGATTAAAGAAACTAAAAGGAATAAAATTTTGAAAAGAAATTAACTTGATACCACACATATAATATTAAAAAAGTATAAAGAATAAAAATTAAAAACGGTAATGTCCAGACGGAATTTTACCTATATAACAAATTGTATACTTTCGTTTGTTTGTCTTTTTGATTGTTTATTTGTTTGGTTCTTTGGGATTGTTTAGCGTTTGTTTTTGTTGTGTGTGTTTTTTTGTTGTTGTTTTCTTGTTGTTTTTGTGCCTTTGATCTTACAAAATGGTATGAATACTTAGATAATTTTTACTGTGACCACTGACAAAATTATAGGGATGTGATGTGGCCACGTATACTCTGTCCTGCTTATTTAAGTAAAAATTCCTAATTATTTGACCATTCGCTTTAACCGGGGAAGGGATAATTCACACATGGAGACTTTTAAAGGGTTTTTTGGCCCATTTTTTGGGGTGTAAACAATTAACAAGTGACGGTTTGCAATTTCGGAGTTTTTGACGGTATCAGTCGATTCATGCTGTTAGCCTTACTGTAAGTAAAGACGACACAAAGTAATAGCCAATTTTTTTGATGAAATAACCCCTTCCCTTGGATGTATTTCAATATGTTTAACAATCTGTAAAACACCCCATAATTTTTGTTTTTTTCCCAAAACTGAAAAAAATTATTCATAAAGTAACAATTGTTGAAAAAAACATGAAAGGGTTAGCAAAGGGCTTTGTATTAAGACAAGCTTATTTTGTAATTTTTAGAAAAGTATCAAATTTTTAAAAATTATTTTGGCTTGCTTTGGAATTGTTAAGGGGCGAGAAAATTTTCCAGTTTTTCAGCCCCTTTAAAGTCTTTTAAAAGCGAAAAAGCGCTCAAACCCCGGGGTAGGGCGATTTTACATTTTTTATTTTTGCCATGAGGACAAAACGAAACAAGTCTGCAATTTTCATGTCATTTTGTTGCGATTAATGCTTCCGAGGTATCACCGTTCTTCCAGATTTTTTATTTATGCAAAGATATTGGTAATACTTATAATCATATTTTCATGTTTAATGATTATTGATGTCTGTTTTCTAAACATTCGGTTATTGCTGTGTGGTATCAGGCCTAAAATCCTATTAGATGTTGGTTAAAACATTAAACAATTGCTTTTTAAGCGATTTTTGCTTTTAAAAAATCCTGAAACTGCCGACTATTCCTGTTTTGTATCAGAATATTTCATTTGAATGTAACATAAGGTACAGACAAAAAGTGTTGCCATTGAATGCTGTGTAAAACTGTTTTACCGTTTACATACTTGCTGGCCAAAATACAGAAGAATGGGGTTTTATCAAATACAAATGCATGTATGTAATGATTGTAATAACATACCTGGTTTAGCATGTGAGAATATGTCATTAAGGTGTAAGGAAGATTCAACTTTCTTTGAAGCTGTGCAGTTGAATGCTGTCATACCTAAAGCAAGTTTCAGTAAGAACTCTGGAATGTAAATGTTTCCCAGATTGACATACATTATTCCTTATTGAAATACATTATTAAAACTCCATTTTATTGATTAACACAATAGAGAAAAACGGAATCTCTAAATAACGCCAAAATCGAAAAAAACATTGAAAATAATGCAGGCTGTTCATGGGGGGAAAGTTACCATCAGAATTTAACAATTCAACATTTAGAAAACGAATATAATAAAGTTTATAATTTTGAAACAACCGCAAATGTATTTATACGGTGGTCATGTTTTAGACATTTAGTGTCACACTTTGTTGCCATTCTCTGAAAATTGGCGTATGGTCCCCAGGTATAAAAAAATGTGTGACAATAACGAGAAAACAATGGGCGTGACTATACATAATTAAATTTTGAAAATGGGTCTGATGTAACGAAACCTGCATTTCACAGCCAAGACGTCAAAAACAGCATGTACAATATTCTTAGGATGATTATAGCATACTGTTACCACATCAATTGAAATTGAAGAAACTAGCAAATACCACAAACATGAACACATATATTTTGTTTTTCCGTCAAATGTGTTACACATGACACATACTTAGGAGCAAGTTATATGTCTGTGTTGAATGTATTATTTAGCATTTATCATGATTTTGGCAATAAAAGTTCAAATTTACACATCAAACGTTTGAAATAATACTGTTCTTTGTTTCATGTAAAGCTTGCATTAGGCGGTGCGCAACTTTTCGGCCCTTTCCGCCAGTCTTCGGATAAGTACCTCGAACGAAGTAGTAAGAATTCACAGAACGGATACGGTAGTTCGGTCTTACTAACGCTAAGAACCTCAATATGCAAACAAATATCAATTTAATGCTAGGAGTTAAAGACTGAATTTATAGCAATATATCAAGTAAAAGTCCACCTTAATTAAGTAAACTTACAGATATAACAGTGAACAGTACATTATTTATATACTTCTCTTATTATGTTGAAACCGAAAGTACAAAATGTCTACCTGTTTACATTTATTCGGACTTGGTAATAATTGTACATCGGTGAGCATTTTTAAATTGATTATGATTGTGAGACATATGCTCAATCTTTACTTGACCGAAAAAAACTATATTTTTCTTTGGATGTCAAATTTATACAAAAGCCTGAGCTCTATATTTATTTACATCTAAAACCACGTAGTGGAAATACTTTAAATCATTATTAAGTCCAATGTTATTATGAATAATAGCCGAGGACGTCCCGATTGAGGCGGGTGACGTTGTTAAGTCTGTTTCAAATTTGTGATCATTTAATTAGGATATACGTTGAGGAAAGGAGAATAAGTCACCTTTGTGGAGTTTTGATGATGTTAATAGATGACAAGAACATACCTGGACAAGCGTCACTGTCGTAGCTGTCATGTATAGTCTAAAACAGTGAATGATAATAAAATATAAATAACAGTGTCAATTATATATTTATATCAATACTGTTTACTTGTATGATCATAACATAATCGAACTTTTTATTTATATCATTTATATAACAACTAGATCTGCAATTATTAGATTTTATTATATATAACATTTATTTTTCCGCAAAACTTACAGTCACATCAAAGGCCAAAACAAAAATGCTTGTATTTGTTTAATTTAAACTTATTTGACGATATAAGAAAAAGAATAATTAGGAAATCATTACCAGATTAACAACTGCCTGCAACATGGTACTCAGTTTGCCACATGTTTTGTTACGATCAGTAGTTTTGTCAGTCTCAACTATAAACTGGCCTAAAAGGTCTGGGTTCCCTTGACTTGTTATGTCTAAGGTAGAGCACCATTCTGATTCGACCTTGTGCTGTCTTAACAGGCGCCAGTGCACGACCAATGGAAGTAAGACACTTATGTTGACGATTGCTATGGCAACCAATGTCGTTAGAGTACATTTTAATTTCTGTAAAAGTAAATGGTATTATAGAAATGCAAAGAATCTAGTTCAAACATTTCTTTTTTATTCTACTATACTAGCATTGCGAAAAAAATACATTCGCATGCTTATTCAAAATTCATTCCAAATTTATCGATTAAAGACAAGCGATTTCGGGTTCATGTTAATATTAACAAAAATATATAAACGGAATCAGCAGAGTGGCACGGAGGTTGATTCCTCGGTTCCCGTTGATTTGTTCTTTGCGGTACTGCACTTCCTTGATAGGGCAAGGGAAGATAAACCGGACCAAACATTTGATTGAAATATTTACCAATATAGTGTTCTGCGCATACGTTGAAGGGGAATAAATATAACAAGACGCTTTAAAAGACAATGTGTATACTGTGCATACACTATGCAGAAATTGTAACTGTGTACATGGGAAGAAAACTGCAACGCTTTATTTAGGCGTTTTCATCTTGATCTTATGTTATAGGAAAGGAATACTGATGTAACATCATTATTGATAATAAATGAAAGGAGTAAATTTAAGAACAATATTATATCACCGTTTATTGCATTATGGCCTATCTTTGTAACATTATGTGCATACTTGTTTATATTGTTAGTAGATTTATCATCTTTGGTCATGACTTTCTTTTGTCATTTTTAACATTTTCTTGTTAATTCGGCTTAATTTATTATAAAGATTCAGTAATGGGAAACCAGCGTTAAAGAAACAGTATACCCGAGACGAAAACATTATGTACCGTTAAATATCGATATATTTGAAATCATGTATGTGAAAGTGAGTTGTAGTCAAATAGGCAAACGTCAGTATGTGTACGACATTAAAACTGAACGTTACAAAATAATCAATTGCTACTACACGCATAAACGAATAACACCCAGTTTAACCTGCATGTAATGTTTTGATATTCCAATAGTGGATTTAAACTCTATTATCTTCCGTATTGAAACGTTCCTGTGATAAAGCCTTTAAATTACTTTTAATGTCAATGTAGATATCTTTTAATCCGTTAAAACTTATTTCTAGCTACATCGATTAAGTTTTTATTGCAACTTCATGTATGCTTGAAAAGAGAACACCTGTATAAACCGTTTTGTTTTATTTACATACATTATTTACTTCAAGAAACTCATTTAGGCAGAATACAAGCCTTTATAATAAGCCGTTATTTGCTTATCATAATTACATTACATTATCATTATATCGAACTTCTAACATCAGGATGTCTAAGGCTTATTGATTCTTTAAATACTTTTAATAAGATTACACGTGTATTTTCATACATGAATAACAAATATATTTTGATGACTATCAGACACTGGATTTCTTACATCATATTTGTATCCACAATATCCCTTTTCAAACTTTTATCATGTAAGATGGTACGTGCTCAAAACAACATTTATCGCGATACAGAGTATCGGCAAGAGCACGTATTACGCATCTAGACTCATGCTAATTTTCACGAAAATCGCAAACTCGGTTAGATTGAGTTTTTACATTGTGAATACTAAAAGAGCACAACATTCCCTACGGTTCCGAGCGGTACTCATCGTTGTGCCTTTAACTATACAATCAACACAACACGACTTATTACTTTAGTGAATTATTTTAAACATCACAACAGCAGTTTTGAAGTACCGTGAGGCAGCTGTAAAAACTGCCCCGTACTTATACTTCAGTGTTGTTATATTTGTTCTGGTTCTTCGGAACCATTGATTAACACCTTGTAGTGGTGAAAATTGAATACCGCTCCAATACGGTGGAAGGAGGCGTGAAGAATGTTGCACTATTCCTTTATCATCATGCACAGACTCAATCATAACGTCTCTGAAATGTCCATGTTATATTGTTGTGATTAATGCTTTCGAGGCATCACACGCCTTTAAGATCTCTCTTCCAGATCTTAATACACCACAATAGAAGGTCGGATAGTTCAGTCGGTAGAGCCGCTGTACAAATTGCACAGGGTGAGAAAAATGTGCAGCCTGACCGGGACTCGAACCCGGGACCCTCGAAATACCGTACCGTTGATTTACCGACTAAGCTATCCGGCCGCTAACCTTAATAATGAAAAGTTTTGAATCGTGACATTTCATTGAAGAAAGACATGCATAATGAAGCAATAATATAGTTCAAAGTCGTGAGTACTTGCATAAACGAATTAAATTCAGTTTTTCCTTCAGGCTGATGTATTTGTATTTAAACGCCTTTATCTTTCGTGTTAAAACGTTCCAGTGAACTACATTAAATTATAATTATGTTCAAACAATCTTATTTTGGCAGCTTTGAAGAGGCACAGAATTATATATAACACAAATAGTTTCTTTTAACTTTTAAATCTTCTTTATTATCTACTTATATCGGGTATAAAAATAGGCAGACGAAATTAAATACAACTCATTAAGTTTTGATTGAATCATAGTTTGGAGACAATTCTATTGAAAATGTGTGAGTCATACATGCACAGTGTTTTAACTGGAGTGAAGTTAAAAATAACTCCAACTACACTATCTGTCGGGATTTAAAAGAGCACGCTCATTCATTGGCTCATATTTTTTCTGAGGTGTACATATTGTGGCAACAGAGAAAGTGATAACTATAGAGAGTCGTATTCAAATGCACGTCCAATGTTTCAAGAAACATGTGTTTATGTTTGCATTTTATACAAATGCCTTGTAACACCGCAAAACGTCCGTACCGCAAAACGTTCGTATATGGACGTTTTGCGGCGCATATCATTCACATTGTTCTGACGTACATTTTGCGGCAAAAAGGCATGGTCCTGCCGAATAACGTCCATATTTTAAAGTTTATGTAATTTTCGTTAATTTTGACCTGTTATTATCAGGTGTTATTGTGTGTTAATTTTAGCTCACCTAAGTATGCGCCTGTCTGTCTGTCCGTCCAAACTCTAGCATCCACATACCCTAAGCGATATGTCCAGAGTTATCTGCCCTTGAATTACAATATCTGTTATATTTCACATTGTTACCACTCCAACGCTTTCATTTCTTCTTCAATATTGACAATTTTCAACAAAATATCTATGACCATAAAATCTCAACAAAGTTAGATTATGGGCTAAATCTAACAAAAAAAAAAAAAAAAAAAAAAAAAAACAAACAAACAAAAAAACAAACAACAACATAAAAAAACGCACTATATTTCACATTGTTAGTGCTTTCGTTTCTTCTCAATTCTTAAATTTTTTTATACAGAATATGTATAACAATAAGGTCTCGATAAAGTTCATTTATGAGTTAAAACGACTGAATATGTAAAGAGTTATTTGCCTTTGAATAATAAAAATAAAGTTGCCTTTTAAAAGGAAAGGCTTGCACAGTTGTGCCTTCATCCCAACCCTTTAAAATTGTTTTTTTTTTGTTTCAATTTATTATCACAATTTTTTTTAATTACGGTATTTGAATATCATAAAGGGTTTATTTAGTTGTTTCTTTTGTAAAAACGAATATTTTTTGGTCAAAACGATTTGAAATCTATTCTCTATTGTATAAAACTTATAAAGAAAACAATCAATCATAAAAATACTAACTATTCTATCATACTGAAAAGGAAACAAGTGTGCACATTTCATTTCAAGAGAAATTATTCGTTTTGGCAGTTGCTAATTTCATTTATATAGCATCTTTATGGACAAGTAAATGCACTAAAATACTTCGTTACGTGGTACCAATTAATATAGCATGTATCAACTATGTTACACGACCACAGATACGATGCGCTATTTGTAGTTCAGCACGTGGTAAGGTTAATGATATGCATGGGCTATTTTTAGATTACCTCACTGCGTTCATTAGATCTAAATATAACTCGATCATGCTGATTTGGTAAGCAAGACCACCCTTTGGAGACGTAACCATCCTCTATTGTATCAGGTATATATGTTAATATACGTACCTGATTGTATAAAACTAATACAGACAAAAACAATTATAAAAGAAACTAACTTTTGTGTCTTGAAAAAGAATTGAAACGGAACAATTTCGTTTATAATTTATTACGGTTTAAACCGATAAATCAAGTAAAAATAGAAATCCTATTTATATAAACAAACTGGGATTACCGAAGTAACTAAAATAGCTTAGATTTCCGTAATATTACTTCGTCTGATTCCGCAGTATGACGAAATCGCCCGAATTGTCATGATTGCAATCGGAACTACATCGGCTATTATCATTAAACCGAAGAGTGACGGAAAGGGCCAAAAAGTTGCGATTGGCACGATTGCAGCTGGTTTCCCGTTCAATCATGCACTAACAAATGTAAGCAGGAAACCACCTAACCGGAACAACTTTTCCAAAACAAATGGGCAATAAAGACATATTTTAAAGTCATATTATTGAATTGTGATAAAACTGCCATTTCTTTGTTATCAATGATCAGATGTCATTTCTATATTTATGACAGGACAGACATCTTGAATAGTTCAACTATGATATTGACCTTGAAATGACATTGACCTCAAGGTCACTATTGAATTTTGCTTAAATTACCATATATTTGTCATTTACAGATATTGGGATATTGATGACAATTTCAGACGTAGAATTGAGTACTGATATCAGTTACCCAGATTCTGACCAAGTACATGAAATGTACTTGCTTTTTATTTGTAATATTCAATGCTATCTATCCTTGTCATGCACAGCCTTTATATGCAGGTGGGCGATATAAGGCCACCATGACCTTTTTGCTTTGTTCAATTATAAAATTACATTGTTCAATTATAAAATTACATTATGACATTCAAACAAAACGCTAACATAACGATATTTTAAAATATGCTTTAGTTTTTATCAATAGAACACATTGAACTTATTTTTCATAATTTCCTTTGCGGAAGAATGTTTGTTATAATATACTCTATTACACATTATCTATGTAACCTATAGGCGAAATGTTTTGTTCTTCAGGCGATAAAACAATGCGGTTTTAGTAAAGGGACGGACTTTCCGACTAACCTGTAGAT